AAAACAAAACAATCCAAACCCCAGGCCTGGAATCCCTACTGCCCTTTCCTTAAACAGAAATCCCTTGCTGGGCAAAGAGGAACTTTTTTTTGCCTCACTTTGCTGCCTGGCCAGGACCAGGATACCAAGGGAACCCGCAGTGTGAGAGCTGCTGAGGTACCTGGGGGTGCAGGGGACACTGCTTAGAAACCAGAGTGGGCTTTTGCTGAATTATTAATGATACTCCAACATGAGAACCAGGTCTTGAGGGTGTTACAAAGCATTTAATCAGCAAGTAAGCAGCTATTTTTAGTAAATATAACGAAAGAAAATTGACAACAATTCCAGCTCTTTTGCCAAATACCTGCAGTGCTAAAGCTTTCAAGTTAAGACTTAAAAAGCGCTGGGGAAGACTTGACTCTGACAGATGTCTGAAAACACTCAGATACACAGGTAATGAAAACGTATTTTAGAAAAAGCCAAACTCCTGGTGGTAGAAAATACCCTCCAGTGTTATCTCACAGGAGCTTTTCAGCAAGCAGGAGCCGACCTTGAAATGTACTGGTGAAACACTGTTTGCTTTTCTTTTTAAGAGCCTGAATATAACGTGGGCAAGGCTCAAAAAACAACGCAAATGGACACAAATCCAAGTGCTTACTGAGGCCACTTCAGACTGGACAGGGACCAAACTGATACCGGGTACTAATTATGATAAGATCAAATACTTTCAGACTCAGTGTAAGCAATTACCAGTTCAAATCCCAGAGGAAGAGGAGAAAGGGATTTGAATACTTTCCCTTTAGTTGCTCACCCCACTGACTGTTCTTTTACTCAGTGAATCTGACTCCCCGTGCACTTCATGTTGACAATAAGGTACATGAATTTCCTGGGAGGAATTATATAACTCTAAATTAAAATTATGAACAGCTGAAGGATAAACAGACCACATGGTATCACCCAAACCAGCAAAACACTACCCCACAAATGCCATGTTCCCAGGAATTACTGCTTTTAATAAGTTAATAGCCAATATCTAAGTGTCATGAGTGGAATAAAGTGCATATACAAGCAGTAGCAACTAGTAAGAAGTGTGCAGTAAGCAACCTTAATTGGAACAAAAGTTAATTAAACCCACCACTGAGAATCACAAAAATAACTCTGACTTTATCTCCTCATGACCTCAATGATGATATTGTTGTTTCCCAAAGTGTTCTGCCCCACCTAGCATGGCATAAAAAAAATGTTCTTTCCATCTTGCTGTTATTGGAAGAGGAGAAAACAAGCAAAAAAATCAAAAATAAACAAACAAAAAAGGGTATTTTATTCCCCTTTTTCATTCTCTGTTGCACATTGAACACTGTCTGTCCAGTGGGATTGGTACACAGAGCCTCTGCCTCATGCAAATGGGCTTTGGGAATCAGAGCATGCTCTAAAAGCAAACAGCAGGTTATTTAGAAAAGTGATTTAAAGTAATTAGAGTGAAGTCATTCCATCCTGATACAGGCAAAGCTTGCCTAAGTAAGTTTAGTCAATTAAGCTTCTTTCAACTCACCCACCACAGTTCCTCCTGCACATGAACGTGTCCATTCTCCCTTCCTCTGGACACTGTAAGAAGTCATTTTCTCACTCTTTGCCCCTTATCTACACCAGACACCTAAATTTTAGTTGAAATATCCCTGATATCGTTCATGCACTGTCTTTAGTTACATCTGACAGTAATGAGAGTGACCTGCTCGACAAACAGCACCAAACCTGCACTGCTGGTTTTGCTCTTCCCTTTCCTCTGCCTCTCCATAAATGTACCAATTTTACATCTCTGTGCTGCAATAAATCCTACAGCAAAACTCCTCCTTTCCTTGCAAGCTCCAAAATGCAGGAGATCCTGCAGGGGAGGCTCCCAGGCTTTGCTGAATGCCCAGAGGGCACGTCCTGCCACTGGCCAGGTGACTCAGGAGTTGTGCCCACAGCCCTAGAGAAGCTTTTCTCAAAATCAGAAAGTGGAGACTCCAGGTAAAACACCTCCCCCAGAGTGGAAAAAAGGTCTGCATGGAGCCTCCTGCTCACAACAGGGGAATTAAGAATGCAAAACCTGTGCTGTGCTGACACTTTTTGTGTTTGGGGGTTTTTAATTTTCCTTTCTTCTCTGGGTATTATTACAAGAGACCCAAGTCTGATCCCTTGTGACTTTTTCTCTGCTGCTTCTCTGGTTTGGAGTAAAGAATGTTAACAAGACAAATCTAGAAATCTAAATTAGTCTTCAGTTTATTTCATAGAACATTTGTTCCCTCAAAAAACACCGGAAAAAAAGGGAAAAAACACCCAAAATTCCTATAAAGACAGATAAAAATCTTCCCTCCCAGTTGTTGATATAACATAAAACTAAGACATGAAATTAAGATCAATAACTCATTTCCTTATGCATTCTTGAGAACAGCAACATAATCAAGGAGCATAAACAGCACCAAGTCATTTTAGGTAAGCAATGTGCTTACAGAAGAGCTGTTAAATAGGATCTAAATAATGGGGTTTTTTAATGCTGACTTTTTTCTTTACACAGGATGAGGCTTAGAGCAACAAAACCAGCCTGGACCAACCTGTCCCACACAGTTCAGAGTCATTAGGACATGTACAGTCCCACAAAGGGATTTTTCTTGTCAGCACCTGAGGCAATACAGGAACCACCAAGTGAAGCCTCAAGCCCCAAAGGCCTATTTTTGAACAAGGACAGACACTTCTCACCCCTATAGAATAAAATAATCCCATACTTGTGGGTGTTGTAGATGTCAACAGCATTTTCTAGACCAGAGAAACAGTTTTACATAGGAAAGGTTTGATGTTCTTCCATGTGCCAGGTGGTTTAGGACTAAACTGATCCTTTTTCAGAGCAATCCTTGCTATATTAAAAATAATTGCAAATCTCAGCAGCGGCAACTGAGTTAGATTTTACCTTGTAGGCCAAAGACTGGCTCAGACACAAGAACAAGTGGGATGAAACTCCTATAATTTATAAATGAACACATCCACCAGCAGATCTGAACCTGCCCAGCTCGGAGCAGGGGTCAGTGATCCCTCTGTGTGATCATCAGTGCAGTGAGGAAATGAGGCACCTGAGGCCTCCCAGGAGATTATCACCTTCCTCAGGTATCCTCTGGCCTCTCCTTTTTTTACATTATAAAACTGGAAGAGTAAAATGTGGCATTTCAAACAAACTGCATGTGTGGACTTCTAAGTAAATTGAAACCTGTGTACCTTTGAGACTTAATTCTTAGACCAGTCTCTCTGGGACTGCTGGAAAAGCCAATGCTACCACCATTTCTATAAAATTAAAACAATAATAGTACAGGTGACTGTCAACAGAAGTCTTGCTCAAAGGAAAAAATAATTTATTCACTTCATAATCCAACCCAGCATCTAAACTCAAAGTGTTTATTTGAGAATAAGAAGCCAGAATAAGTTCAACTCTAAAGGTAACATCCAAATAAATTAAGAAATGTAAATGAAATGATTCCCCCCCCCACCCCAAATCCAGATTTCTTTCAGTGAGATTTTTAGCCATGACTTTCCACTAAGTAGGAAGAGGAGGAAATCCAGCAAATAAAAATAAAATTTCACAAGGGAAGTTGGTCACATGTTCATGGCCATTTTTTATATCATTTCTCCTGCATACACAGATGATTAGTAAAAACTTCTACGTGTTTAAATATTGAGGAAGCTTTTCCTCAACCTGCAACTTCCCCAAATAAACAAATTGAACTAACTTTCGCTTAGAGCAGCCATGTGCTTGGCTTTGCATTCTCAGTCCCAATCTCCCTAGACTAGAGACAGAAAAAGAACAAAGTCAACACCTCAGAAAGTCCAGGAACAATTATTAAGAGACAAACTCTCTTACAATCCATCTTGTAACTTATCTACTCACCTTTCCTCGTCGCCAAAAGATTTATTTCTAAAACTGATGCCCATAATCAACAAGAAAACTCACACCTCAAGGAAGAACATTTCCTCCCTCTTCAAACAAGCAATATTTAAAGACACCCTGAAGGAATCCATCTGTGCTAAGCTGTCCCAAGCCATCTGTCTGAAACCATTATCAGTGATGGAAGTGCATAAAGGTCACTCTCCTTCCCAATCTGGTATCATATGATACGAAACTGAAAATAAGCTCATGTGGTGGCAAAATCTACATGGCATGAAATTTTGGTTGTGCTGCTTGCAATCTGAACAGCAAGGCAGGAGCAGGAGCAGAGATCACACAATAATTTGAGTATCCCACCATCATTTATGATGACACCAAGCCAGATTATAGCTGTGGGTGTAGGTGTACAACCTGCAGAGTTTATGTCCACAAGATAATCCTTCAGTGAGTTTTAGAGTATAAAAGTACTCACAGAGTGCTTACTAACAGCAAGCTCTCATAGAGCTGATAACTCCTGTTTCGATGCCATCTGCATCTGGCAGAGAGAATACACCTGAGTTCAGAGTAATGATGGAACCCCAAATCATCTGTAGTATGGCAACACATTTCCTCAGTGATGTGAGCTACAGCAAACCCCACGGATCCAACTTCCTCCTGCAAATACTGTGTGGCACCCAAAGATTCGATCTTTATCATCAGATCTTTTAGTAATCCATAATGGTTCAGATATTGGATAGTTTTGGCATCCCAATGAATTTGTTGACATATTAGTGGGGACATTCCCATCCTGTGCAATTGTAGATGTAAGAGTCATTGACCTTTAGCAGCTTGGCTTCTGTTGACTGTCAGCATTAAGACCAACTATGTACTTCCCCTTTACTGTTAAATACAACTTCCTTTTTTTTCTTTCCATCGTAAATGGACTTAAAACACAGGCAACAAGCTATCTAATGGATTATCAGCACATTATTTCAGGTGATCTTTCTGGCATCCCCCAAACTGGAATGATGGAACAGCTTTAGACTGTGAAGCCTTTTGCAAGACATGAAGGGAGTCACTTTGCAAAAGCAGGTGGAAGGTGAGCACTGCCCCTCCATCCCCATTTTACCTGTTCTGCACCATGCTCATCGCCATCCAGTCCGAAGGGTAAACATTCTTCCCAATGAGATCTTTGAACATTATGAATGTTTCCATCAAGAAGTCCTAGAACGACAAAATATTGTCAGGTGGTGGCTGTGGAACACAGAGTTTCTGCTCCCCTTTGCTCCCAGTGAAGCCAACAGAAGAATTCCTGGTGATATCAGCGAGGCCAGGGTTGGAACTGCAGTCTTGTAGAATAGGAGTCTCAGAAACGAAATGTCTCCAAATGAAAGCTAAAAGCCATTACACTGAAGTCATTACCCTGGGATCTTTAGAAAATAAAGGCAGAGATGAACTGAGGAAGAAGTTGTAGTAAACAATTAAAATTGTTGAATTTTTTTAATTAATTAAGCAAACAGTCTCACTAGGCATAAAGAATAAATAGTTTTGAAAAATACCGGATTTTGTTTTATTTAGTCCAATTTAGTCCATATTTAGCATTCCAGTTATGGCACCACTCTGACTTCAAGAAAGAGGGGAAAGTGGTCAGCTCTTGGCAAGTGCAAGTAGTGCCTCCAGGGACAAACTGCCCAGGATTGCACTGATGGTGCAATCAAACCCTTTGTCAACATCCTGACTTACTTCAGAGTTATGTCAGTTGTGTAAAAAGACAGACATAAGACTATGGAACATTGTGACCCCTGGCACAAACTAGAATGTACCCCAAGAGTCAATAAATGATGCCATAAACAACTGGCATACAAGGATGCACTGCAAGAACAGGGAATTTACTGCATTTATCCTACAACATTTCCTGGAGCAGGAATAGACACAACAGTGAAAATGAAAAGTGGAAAGGGGTTATCACCATGAGTGAAGTGGGGAGGGAGGGTTCAACTAGTCGAGGATTGATTTTGCTGGGGTTTTTTGTTGGTTTGGGTTTTTCCCTCCACAAAACAGTTTAACACGAAGATCCTATTTATTCTTGATCATTACATCCCCACCTCGGTGCCAGGGTCAACAAGAGACATTTGTGTCTTTCCAAATTTCTTTCCAACACTTACAACGTTGTCCAATGTCACCAATAGAAGAGGGAGGCAACACAGTGACACAGGGACAGAAAATATACAGAAACAGAATTAATTCTAGGAAGAATCAAACAAGATGCTCCACAAAAATACTACTGCTTTTTCCACAGGAAATGAAATGCTTAAAATTAGTACTCACCACTAGTTCTGAGCTTGTCTGAAAAGTTTCAATGTACACTGAATAATGCTGGTCACTCATCTGGTTTAGGATGGCTGTCATGCACGCCACAAAATGACTCTGAAAGCAAACCAGACACAAATCAGCACACGTGGATCGCTTCAGGTGTTGGATTGTACTCTTTCTGAAGCTGGAGTACTCAAAATGCCTGATAAATCCATTTATCCATGCAAAAATAAATACTGTTCAAGCTTTTGCAAGCCCAGATGAAAGAAACATGCTAAGAACTCGAAAAGGATCATTCAAAAGCTGCCCTGCCACATGGAAACACACACTGTGACAAGAAAACTTTATCTATAACAAAATACAACCCAGTATCACCTTAAGACTGTTAAAAAGCACATAAAGTTGCCCAGGAGTCTTCCCTTCAGAATTCATAGGAAGAAAATATGTTAGCATCAACATTTTCTAATAATTTTAAAAACATAGACTACTGAAAGGAAGAAATAGTGCAAGAAATGCTATTTTTTTTTACATTCTGCAGGTGTTAAAGCAGCAAATACAGAACTCTCAAACTTCCACAGGATCCTGTGACCTTCATATCTCAAAAACTTCTTTCAAAATTCCTCTAAAGGAAATATTTTATTTTTCCCAATTCCCCAAGTCAAAATGCTGAAATCCATAACGTGATTTGTAACCCCGTGTTTTCATGGAATTTACTGAAAGCCACATTCATCTCCCAACAACAGTAGTAAAGATTTGAAATTTTCCTTTCACACAGTGAAGAATCCTCCTTACTGATGCCTTTTAATTTGCTGATGTTTTAAAAGTGAACCTGATTGAAACTTTGTTTTAATGAGCGAGCGAAGTTGAGCACGTAAAACAATTTTCCAGATTTTCTCAAATCTTTTCTCAGCAGTGGGTCAGAATTGCTCCCGGGGGCTCAGCAGCCCCTCTGAGCAGGATTTGATTGCCCCCTGGAGCTGCTCGGGGTCTCTGTTTGATTCACTTTGTCCCTCTGTTCCACCAGGGACACGTTACCATCTCATCTGCACTGTCGCACCCAACCATTTTGTCCCCACTCCAGAGGAGGGAATCGTTCCTTCCTCGGCTCCAGGCTGTGACCACTAGAGGTCTTGTTCTTCCCTCCGTGAGCTGCTGTTCGGTTCGCGCTGCCTGTTTTTTATTTATTTATTCCTACGTGAGCAGACCCAGCACACTTCTTGCCTACAACCAGCGAAAATTGCAACCTAAAGGAGCCAAAATACCTTCTTTTGGAATAACAGTGACGCCCGTGAGAGCCTTGCCTACTTTTTTAAGGCTAAGAAGACACATTTTCTGCAGGTAACCCAAAAGCTTTCAGGTAAGAAATCGTGTGTTCTCGGGTACTGATGCTCTTCTGAAAAGAAATGCTGGGTTTCCCGCAGTAGTAGTTCACTTTTACAGTTCTGGAGCAGACGAATCTTTTCTGTGATGTTCCCTGCATAGCTGAGAGGAATAATGAGCTGCAAGGGATTCAGTGCTGAAATTGTGTGGGGGTTTCCTTCTCGTGTCTTGATTTTTAAAAAAGATAACCAACAGAAGTTAGAGAATTGCCGTGAAAGGCAGCTTGTGTTTTTAGCAGCTAAGCATTCGCTGCTGAATGCCTTTCTAGACTCAGGTTAAATAATCACTGCTAGAAATAAGTAGCATTTCTTCACGAGCATTGAAGGGATGTATTAGGTTGCTTAAAGGCATACAGACTTATTTCCTTTGTTAAAACCAACTTCGAAAAATGTGTCTATATGTGTGATTATGGTACAGCATGAATGTAGTGACTGGGTTTGGTGATTTAAAAATTAACAGACCACAGCATGCCTTGAAAATAAGCAGAGACCACCTATTGCTGTGGTTGCACTCAACCTGTCAAATTCACCTCAGAGGGACTGAATGATACAGTAAAAAAAAAAAAGTGACAGTAAAGATGATTTGCTACAAAAACTTCTTCCATCGTTTCCACATAACTGTAAAGCAGGAAAAGACACAAGTACTGCTTGATCTCGAGGCATTTTCTCTCCAGCAATCTCAGCTATCAGAAATCAGCTGCCAGCATCTTTATAGGTTAAAAGCTTGCCCCTCCCTCCTAATCCCCAAACGCCAGCAAGAAAGATTTGCTTCTCAGAGGCAGCCTCGGATCTCTGAAGTGCCCTCTCCCTCCTTCCCTTCCAGCATTGCCATTCTCACCGCCACAACTTAAGGATAACAGAGGGTTCTTCACAGCTGTGATCAGATCTGCAAATATCTCGATGTATTTACTGAAATTCTCCTCTGTGGGGTTTAAATGCCTCTTGGTGCAATGTGCAAAGAGCATGGACTGCCTGTAAATACAGTAAGTCCTGCACAAGAACCAGCTCTCACACTTGGATCAGCTGCATGTTCACTGGACAGACAGGAGAAATTCAGAGTCACACCACAAGCTAATGCTTGTGATTTAAAAACTTATTAAGTCCAACGTTGTATGTAGGGATTGAATGGTATAACAGAGAAGGCAGAGAAGTTCAAACCCTAACAAGTCATTCCAGCTGCGCTTTGGCTTGTTAGGATTCATCCTGTGAATTACGGCAGAAAATGTTGATTAGAACTAGGTCAAATGGATAAAAAATAAATGTATCAAAGTAAACACTTGACTGCTGAGATAATGCAAAGAGAAGCAAGTCAGCACTACTATGAAGAGATCTAATAAAATGCGTTTTTTCAACTTGAAAACATTCATTTCTATTTAAATACAAAAGAACCCATAACAGAAACAGCACTGAATTCTATTTTTTAAATAATAGATAATTCTCTGACAGCCTTTCAAAAAATGTGTAAGGAAATAAGGAAATCAACAGTATTGAACACTGCACTTCAGCCAGGAGTAAATAGGTAGTCAAGTGAAAGTGAGAGGGGAAAACACGTCAGGAGACATTCAAACTCTCTGTCCACTTAAAAAAATGATAATATTTTAAATGAACTAAAACGCTGCCTTTAGTATAAACACTGCAAAGTGGTGGGTAAGGTAAAAGAAATTCTCTTTTGGTGGAGCGTCTACGAAATACAGCGAAAGGAATCACAGATTGATTCTGTAAAACAAACAGGGCTCGCTCAGGTCAAGCAGGAAGAAGGTGGAATCTCTTCCACGGCTGTCAAAGTGCAGATTAGCTGTGGGTGCAACGTTTTTCGGGAAAAGCAACGGCTGAGGCACATCAGGGGGATGTGAGTAAGATGCCAAACTTCAACACCTAGCAACTAAAGCACACTCTGCAAAGGCACATGGTGACAGGTTGCCGTAGTAACTTCAAATAGAGGACAAGGATGAGGCAAATGCACGAAAAAAACAACAGGATTAACATGGAATGGAGCTATGTTTTTTATTCTAATCTAATAGAAGCCTTTCAGTGGCTGCAGGGTGGGCAATCCTCGTGCTGGAAGTTCTGGAAGGACTTAGGAGGATATTTATTTCATGGGGGCACTTAAGTGACATTTACCCACTCTACCAACACAGAGCCCGAGTGTAAATACATAACCACATGTACAGCATCAAAAAGCAGACAAAATAAAACCATGAATAATTCCTAATAATCCAAAGACCTGAAGGCCAAGATGATGTAGTTATTTTTATATTCCCTTTTCAGCAGAATATTGGATGGTTTTGAAATGCTCATTTTGCTCTCACAACTGCTATAAGGTGAGAGGACTCTTTGCAGAGCACCTCACAATCTCTACTCACTAATGATGGGCTGTGTTAATTAAAGCCCAGTTTGCTGTAGTGGGCAAAGAAACTTATCCAGACAATCCAAAGTTTTTGAGGTGTTTGCAGCAATTATACTACACAGATTGTATTTGATTCTGAACTCCCTTTCAGGTTAAGCCAGAAGATTTCAAAATCCATTGTGTGTTAGAGACAGTGATTTAAAAGTGATGCACAAAAAAAGGGTGACCAAGAATTTCCATGGTTCAAACAGTTCTCTGGTTTGGTTTGGGTTTTTTGTTCAGAAACAAGTTCCAAAATCTTTCTGGAGGAAAAGGGATAAATATGTCATCTAAAATGTAATTAAAGCAAAACTAAGCAACCAACTATTTCAATCTAATGTTAAAAATCATCAATATTTATGTTGGACCACAAAATATATCATTGAGAAGGTCTCAAAAAATCCTGTCTTCACAGAATCATTGAGTCATCACATCTGTTTAGTGTCATGAGCTAAAGAGCAACACAATTGCAAAAAAAAGCATGGCAGATGCTCAGTGATGCCACAAAGAACCACAGCAGCTTGAAGCCACAGTTCCTCAGAAAACCCCGTTAAACCTGGAGAACTGTGGCATATGCAGAGGTTGAAACAAACATCTTGATCATATTATGCCAACACTAAACAATGCAGGTCTGAAAGGAAAAAACAAGCAGAGTTTGAAGTGAATTGCTAATGGAGTAGTTCTGTTGCCTCTCCAGAAATAGATGTCCCTGCCAATGCATGAGCTGTCCTAAAATGTACTGTTTCTGCAAAGGCACAAATACATAAACATTGGGACAGGCTGCTATGCAACAACCTCGTGTGGTCCTCACGTGTGAAGTGGGAAATAGCTCCTCATCCAGCCAGACCTGGAGCTCGCCAACGAACACACCTCACTAATGATTAATTTACAATAACATTCAGCTGCTCTTAGTAGGTCTGAGTTTTTAATTTTCCATTTATACACTCACACAGTTCATTGGTTCTGCCTCCTTGTGTTTCATAGCTGAGTGAACAGGAGCTCATCCCACACCTCACTGACAGCTCTGGATTTCTGACTGAAAACATGCTGGGCTGGTTTAGCTTGTTCTACCCTTTCCTTCACATTCATATGATGTAGCTAAAAGGATGTGCAACTATAAAACCAGCAGCCTACCAGACAGAACAATACAGAACAATCCTGTAACACAATGAGGTAGTAACAGCAGCTGCTCTGTAGGATTTTAAGACATGTTACAAGTTAGACAAGCAAGACAATCTCAATATTGTCTCATTTAAGTCATACCCAGATGTAGATAAAAGCAGCAAAATAATGGTTATGGGTATGGCATACAAGAACCTTGATTTTCTTAGAATATATCCTTTGCCATC